AGTTGTTCCAGCACCATTTTTTGAAGATGCTTTCTTTCTTCCATTGTATACTTTGAGCTCCTTAATCAAAAATGAGGTGTTCATAGGTTTGTGGGTCAAAATTCTGGTCTTCTATACGATTCCATTGTTCGACTTCTCTGTTTTTATGCCAGTACCACACTGTTTTCATCACTGTAGCTCTGTAATAGAATTTGAAGTCAGGGATGGTAATGCCTCCAGAAGATCGTTTATTGTATAGGATTGTTTTGGCTATCCTGGGTTTTTTGTTTTTCCATATAAAGTTGATTATTGTCCTGTCAAGATCTGTGAAGAATTTTGAAGGGACCTTGATGGGGATTGCATTGAATCTATAAATTGCCTTTGGTAGAATTGCCATTTTTACTATGTTGGTCCTCCCGATCCAAGAGCAAGGGAGGTCCTTCCATTTTCTGGTATACTCCTCAGTTTCTTTCTTCAATGCCTTAAAGTTCTTGTCAAGTAGATCTTTCACTTCCTTGGTTAGAGTTACCCCAAGATATTTTATGCTGTTTGTGGCTATCGTGAAAGTTGAAGCTTCTCTGATTTCCCTCTCTGCTTCCATATCCTTTGTGTATAAGAGGGCGACTGATTTTTTGGAATTGATCTTGTATCCTGCCACATTACTAAATGTGTTTATCAGCTGTAAAAGTTCTGTTATGGAGTTTTGGGGGTCGCTTATGTACACTATCATATCATCTGCAAATAACGAAAGTTTCACTTCTTCCTTTCCAATTTGAATCCCCTTGATCCCCTTATGTTGTCTTATTGCTATTGCTAGAACTTCAAGCACTATATTGAAGAGGTATGGCGAGAGTGGACAGCCTTGTCGTGTTCCTGAGTTTAGTGGGATGGCTTTGAGTTTCTCTCCATTTAATTTGATGTTAGCTGTCGGCTTGTTGTAAATAGCTTCTATTATATTTAGTTATGACCCTTGTATCCCTAATCTCTCCAATACTTTTATCATAAAGGGATGTTGAATTTTGTCAAATGCTTTTTCAGAATCTAATGAAATGATCATATGGTTTTCTTTCTTTCAGTTTAGTTATATGCTGGATTACATTGATAGAATTTCGTATGTTGAACCAGCCCTGCATCCCTGGGATGAAGCCTACTTAATCATAATGGATAATTTTTCTAATGTGTTCTTGGATACGGTTTGCCAGTATTATGTTGAGTATTTTTGCATCGATGTTCATGAGTGAGATTGGTCTATAATTTTCTTTCTTGGTTGAGTCTTTTGCGGTTTTGGTATCAGGGTAACTGTAGCTTCATAAAAGGAATTTGGCAATGCCTCTTCTGTTTCTATATTGTGAAATACATTAAGGAGTATAGGTATTAGTTCTTCTTGGAAGTTCTGGAAGAATTCCGCATTGAAGCCATCTGGTCCTGGGCTTTTTTTGGTAGTGAGGTTTTTGATAACCTCTTCTAATTCTTCATGACTAACAGGTCTATTTAAATTGTTCACATGGTCCTGGTTTAACTTTGGTATATGGTATTTTTCTAAAAAAGTGTCCATTTCCTTTACATTTTCCCGTTTTGTGGCCAATACGCTTTTGTAGTAAGATCTAATGATTCTCTGAATTTTCTCTGTGTCTGTGGTTATGTCCCCCTTTTCATTTCTGATCTTATTAATTTGCAAATTCTCTCTCTGCCGTTTGATTAGTTTGGATAGGGGTTTATCAATCTTGTTGATTTTCTCCAGGAACCAGCTTTTTGTTTCATTGATTCTTTGTATTGTTTTCTGTGTTTCTATTTTGTTGATTTCAGCCCTCAGTTTGATTATTTCCAGTCTTCTACTCCTCCAAGGTGAGTCTGCTTCTTTTTTTTTTTCTAGAACTTTCAGGTGGGCTGTTAAGTCTCAAATGTGAGCTTTCAATGTTTTCTTTAAGTGGGCACTTAGTGCTATGAACTATCCTCTTAGGACTGCTTTCATAGTGTCCCATAAGTTTGAGTATGTTGTTTCTTTATTTTCATTGAATTCCAGGAAGACTTTACTTTCTTTCTTAATTTCTTCCTTAATCCAGGTATGGTTCAGTAGTGACTGTTCAGTTTCCATAAGTTTGTAGGCTTTCTGGGGGTAGGATTGTTGTTGAATTCTAACTTTAATCCATGGTGATCTGATAAGACACAGGTGGTTACTAATATTTTTTTGTAACTGTGGATGTTTGCTTTGTTACCGACTATGTGGTCGATTTTTGATAAGATTCCATGAGCTCCACAGAAGAAGGTATATTCTTTCCTATTGGGGTGGAATGTTCTATAGATGTCTGTTAAGTCCAATTGAATCATTACCTCCACTAATTCTCTTATTTCTCTGTTAGGTTTCTGTCTGATTTACCTGTCCATTGGTGAGAGAGGAGTGTTGAAGTCTCCTACTATTAGTGTGTGCGGTTTGATGGCTGCCTTGAGTTTTAGCAATGTTTCTTTTACATAAGTGGGTTCTTTTATATTAGGGGCATAGATGTTCAGGATTGAGACTTAATCTTGATGAACTGTTCCTGTTATGAGTATAAAATGCCCCTTCCATCTCTTCTGATTGATTTAAATTTGAAGTCTACTTTGTTAGAGATTAGTATGGCCACACCTGCTTGTTTCTTAGGTCCATTTGCTTGATAAGCCTTTTCCCAGCCCTTTACTCTGAGTAGGTGCCTGTCTTTGTGGTTGAGGTGTGTTTCTTGTAAACAGCAGAATGTTGGATCCTGTTTTCGTATCCAATCTCTTAGCCTGTGCCTTTTAATAGGTGAGTTGAGTCCATTGACATTAAGTGATATTAATGACCAGTGGTTGTTAACTCCGGTCATTTTTTTAGTCGTAGAGTTTGTGTGTTTCCCTTCTTTGTTTTGTGTATGTGAAGGGTCTCTAGATGTCTGAGTTATTTTGGTCAATGTTGGACTCCTTGGTTAGTGATTTTTCTTCTATTACTTTCTGTAAGGCTGGATTTTTGGCTGCGTATTGTTTAAATTTGTTTTTATCCTGGAAAATTTTATTTTCTCCATTTATTGTGAATGAAAGCGTGGCTGGGTATAGCAATATGGGCTTGCATCCATGTTATCTTAATTTTTGAAGTACATCTATCCTGGACCTTCTGGCTTTCATGGTTTTCATAGAGAAGTCAGGTGTAAGTCTGATATTTACCTTTATAAGTAACTTGAACTTTTTCCTTTGCAGCACTTAATATTCTTTCCTTATTCTGTATGCTTTGTGTTTTGAAAATTATATGGCGAGGGGATTTTTTTTTTGATCTAGCCTATTCGGTGTTTTGTATGCTTCTTGAACCTTCAAAGGTATATCTTTCTTTAGGTTGGGAAAGTTTTCTTCTATAATTTTATTAAATATATTTTCTGGACCGTTGAGCTGTACTTCTTCTCCTCCCTTATAAATTATCAAAACAAATAAATAAATCTTAACTAAATAAATGAGAAAATATTGGTACAATATTTAACAATGTATTTTTACTGGGTTTGAAAATTTGAGATATCACATATAAATTGTAGCATTGTTGTTCAGCTAATAAACTTTAAGGAGTGAGTTCACAGAGTCTATGGAATCCTCTCCATTCCTCATTTCTGTCCTGTCTATTTTCGGCTCCATTGTGCCCTCTGCTGGTCTTGAGCACTCTGCAGGTTGACATGTCCCTGAACTTCCCAATACACTTTTAATATTCTTATTATTTTATACATTTATCATTCTAAAAAAGAGTTTAGAAATTCAGATTGTTAGTAATAAACTTTTCATAGCTTCAGTGTTGCTGTGGCTGCTTCACACTGAGCTGGTTAAAATTCAGTACTCACTGACAATACTAAGAAAACCCTGGCTTGGTAAGTAAGTACTGGCAGTTACAAGTATTGTATCAAATGTGGTAATCTCATTGTTGAGGAATTATTTTCCCAATTACTAGCTGAAAAATCTTATTTCACATTCATTAAACATGGATCATACATTTATCTCTTTTCTTCGATATACGTGGAAGATATCAAGAAGTAATTCCATGGACTCCTGGAATCCCAAATGTGCCCAACATTCTAGTTCTCTGTGGTCATCATAGGTCACTGGCACCAAAGCGGGCTGCTCTTTTTCCCGTCATTAGGGAACATACTGTAGATTCCTTGGTTGTCACCACACACTCTGTTGTTTATTGAGCTGTGTTTGTCTTCATCTCAGTACTCCCAAATTCTATAGCCTCCTTGTTCTCCAAAATTTCTTAATATAAATCTGAAATCACTATAATACTATCCAGAGAAGGCTTAGACATGGAACAGGAGAGTCTCTTTTCCTTTTCCAAATTCATAAAACATATAATTCTTAACACTGTCTCTACACCAAATTTCACTTCTCCGCTAATGCTAATCTAACTCAGAAATAAATAAAGCATCCAAGCTTTCTATATTCACCAGCAATAAAGAGTTCCACTTCGGCAACCACTCAGGAAATGTTTACAGAAAAACTAGCAAAAATCAGGAAAATGTGATAAGGAACTCTGTTACCATATCACCTGGCATGTGCACATTGGCCACTCAGAATTTTCTTTTTTTTTCCTTTTGCAAAGACAAGTTAGTCTATTTCAAAAGTCTGTAATCTGAACACTATTCTTTATGCATAGTGAAAACAAGAAAGTAAATTGTTCAGCAAACAAAGGCAGAGAAGGCTTGGCATGTGTGAACATAACTGGTATTTAGATTCATTTTCTGCCCATGAGAATTTTGCAAACCACAGGTAAGCTCAATGAGGGTTGTTGAGGATAGCTCCTCAGTTACATCAAAGCACTCTAAACAGAACATGTGATTTTGTTTACACAATCCCCTAGTGTATATTTGACATGAAATCTTTCACTGTCTTAAACATATGAAATACATGAAAGCAATCTTTAGTGATGCCATGAAACTGTCTTGTTTTAGAGGGAAATGATTTGCTATCACAGCCTCTTCTTGTTGGAAGCAGCCGCGAGAGGCCCATCTCTCAAGATTCTCCTGTCTTCAATGCAGCTATTCTTTTTTCTTCTTTTTACCCTTGTTGCCAGTCTTATGGCAACAAAAGAGGCAACATTTTGTGATGATGAATACCACAGCTGCCACACAGGCCAACAGGAACCCAATCACATCCAGAGAATGGTACTGGAACCAGGCGAGGTCATGGAGAGCTGGGCAAAGGTGCTTGGCACCTCTGTGGTGCATGGCATACTCAGTCCAGAAGACGGCTCTGTCCAGAGGCTTCATTGGTTGATCATGTTGGATTCTTGACAGTCTCATGGCATTCTCTTTGTACGAAGGGTCATTAATGACAGTCCTCAACGCAGTAAGAAGCTTTGTAGTTGACAATGTGCTGAAGTCTACTCTAATTGCTGCTCCCTTGGCCACCATGTGGTTAATATTATCAGGTTGATCCGCAAACAATGGAATACCAGCAATAGGAATGCCATGATAGATTGCTTCACAGATGCCGTTAGTTCCACCATGAGCTATAAAAGCTTTAGTTTTTGGATGACCAAGAAGGTCATTCTGGGGGATCCACTTGTACAACCGAGTATTGGATGCTAAGGTGTCTGGTTTCTTACCATCGAATCAAGATGGTGACACAAGAAACACCTCCAGTGGAATCATTATATGGGAAATTGGGTTTTAAAGTAATCTTTAGAAAGATGATAATTTTTTTTTCTTTATATTGAGAAAAGGAGAAAAAAAAACAAGTTTCCACTTCCTCCCAGCCTCCCATTTCCCTCCCCCTCCTCCCCCCCTACGCCCCCTCCTCCCACCCTTCTCCCCCTCCCCCCACACCTTTCCCCCTCCCTCTCCAGTTCAACGAGCAGTCAGGGTTTTCTGCCCTGTGGTAAGACCTAGGACCTCCCACCTCCGTCCATATCTAGGAAGGTGAACATCCAAACTTGCTGGGCTCCCACAAAGCCATCACATTACTTAGGATCAAACCCCCCGTGCCATTGTCCTTTGCGTCTCATCAGCCCTCATTGTTCGCCATGTTCAGAGAGTCCAGTTTTATCCCATGCTTTTTCAGTCACAGTCCAGCCGGTCTTGGTTAGCTGTCAATAGATCAGCTCCACTGTCTCAGTGGGTGGGTGCATCCCTCGTGGTCCCGACTTCTAAAGAAGCTAAATAAGAAGGGAAACCCAAGAAAAAACATATAGTTATCCTCTTGGCTAAGGGAAGTAGACAAAATTGCCGGGTAGAAAATTGGGATCTTGGGGTGGGGTGAAAAATGATAATTTTAAATATGCATTCTGTGAAAATGTTAATTACTTCTACCTTGTAATAGCATTAACACACTGGAATCTGGAAAGAATAGACAACATATCATCCCACCTATCTGTGGTAATAACATTCATTCATGGAAGATCTGAATTTTACTCACCATGAGAGGAAATAAATGGAATGATTTTCAGATTATTTCAATTTCCCAGTAGTTTCCATCTTAAACTATCATGACCAAGTCTTAAAATTATAGACATTATGGAAAAGCATGAAAAAAGATTTTTATGTTCATTTCATCTGATAACAAGTGACAAATTGTATCTTTGATGTTCCATTTGGAAATAATGATATGCTTTTTAGACATTAAGCAAATAGTAATTGTCATAGAATATAACAAAGCAAATGGACTCTAGATTTTTGGAAAAGGAAGGGAAAAACACATATTCTAAAATATAAACAGACATGTGCTTGTTTATAAGGAATCACATGATAGAAATTCAAAACTGCCTATAATATCCGTGGCACCTATTCATTCCAAGTAGCTTTAGTAGTTCTTAAGATTCTCTGCTGTTTCTGAGCTTCTGCCTATGAAAGCTTGTGTCTGAGTTCACACTAAAATCTCCTCCCATGTTCCTGGCACAGTAAGACATGGTACATGATTCATAGTTAAGAAAACTTAGCTGTAGGAGCTATCCCTACTGAGAATGATGCTGGAGTTGAAGTCCCATTACAAACTGTTTCTCTAAAAGTCCATAATATGATACCAGGATATTCTAATAGTTCCCTTAAAAAAATTGCATGTGTTTCTTTACAAAATCAGTGAGCTGTAAGAAATAATCTATAAACACAGGGAGAGGGAAACAAAATATTTTAAACTTCTAATCCACTTATGTTGTGCAGTTTATACATATTGTTCTATGGGTACATTTACCACTTTGTTGTCAATGTTGTGAGAAGATATGCATCTATTATATTAATATTCTTCAGTTACTAACAGTATGTGGTACATCTTTTGTTGAAGGTCAGTGGAAATTTACATAAAAGCAATATTGAAATGTATTTTTCCCCAGTATCATACACCTGTTCTCTGCTTACTTCTATTTACATGCCACTTCTCTGAGAACAGGGTTTACACATTCCCCATATATGTGCTGGCTTATGAAATGTCTGCTGGTGACCTTCTCCTCAGATTTGCAATTCATAGTGGGTACTAACTCTCCTTTTTCAAAGAGGTTTTATGATGAAGTCATAATATGTTATATACAGTTTTGTGCCTCACATTGAATATTTATTAACACTTGGCTTATGAACAACATTACTATCAGTTTTACCAGTTTGACAATGCTTTTGACAGAGATATTTCATCTAACAGACATGGAGAATGAAAATATTTCCTTGTCACTAGAATCAAGGAGATCATAAACATGGAAATATGATTGGAAATGGCTGAAAATATCAAAATCACAACAATGTGAAACAATGGGATGAAGCTGCTTATGGTAAGGCTTGGTAAGAGAAGATGGAGTTGTTGCAGACTCCAGTTGGAGGTGTGCTCACTCACTGGCTTTAATTTTTCAGATTTTGGATGTTAGAAGACAAATTGAAAGCCATGTGTTCTGCTTTACAATCCAAAAATAATTTTAAACAAAAGCATATTGAAGCTGAACTTTTACTGAATATTGATTCCATGCAATCACAACAGAATGGCAGTCATTAAGAAAAAAAATGATTCATTACATATGATGTCTGAATATATGGGTCTGGGTTGCCTGCTCAGGATGAACTTTTAGAGTTCTCTCCATTTTTCTGCAAATTTAATTGTTTCTTCTTTTTTCAGCTGAGAAATACCTCATTGTATAAATATACCATATTTTCTCTATCCATTCTTTGATTGAGAGACATCTAGGTTGTTTCTCAATTGTTCCTATCTTCTTGTGGGCATGAATGTGAACACAAATGATCAGGTCAGGGTGAGAAAGAGTACAGAGAAATATGACTGGAATTTGCAGACACTTAGGGGATGATGTGAAAGAGTGGAGTGAAAAATTCCTGGAACATATGAGGGTGATACTAGTGAAAAATTCCAGTAATGGAGGATATGAAGCCTGAAATTGTCATCTTCTTTATCCAGGCAAGGCTCCCAATGATTAGACTGCAAAACTATCCCAGTCACAAAACCTCCAACTCAGATGTGCCCTGCCTGAAAAATGTGCTAGGGTAATGGTGGTTCAGAAATTGATGGAGTGACCAACCAATGGCTGGTCTAACTTGAGGCACAAGCACAAGAGGAAGATCATGCAGGACAATGCCTGGACTGCAAGGAATTGGAAGATGGATGAATCAGAGAATCTATGATAGGATGAAATATGAGTGTGGAAAATGTCAATGAAATGATTTCTAGTGATATTCTGCTGTCTTCATATTTTGGTATGTAGCCAAGTCATCATCACATAGGCTTTCCCTATTAGCTGATGTTAGCAGAACAGCAAAACATTGGGCAAAATTTAGAGAACCAAGCAGAAGGAAGAAGTGTAGGAACCAGAGATTTCTATGATTTAGCAGATTATTGCCCATTGTATCAATGTAGTAGGGAGCATAAGATTCGCAGAGACTCAGGAGACACTCATGAAGCATGCATGGGACAACAATAGTTTCTACGCATACATTCCGTGGTGAACTTGGGGTTTTTGTGGAACTCCTAACAGAGAGAAAAGGAATGTCTCTGACTCTTTTGCTTCTCTTGGAATCTTTTTCCTCCCACTGCATTTCCTAATTCAGCCTCGATATGAGGTTTTGTGCCTAGTCTTATTAAATGATGTTATACCCTATCCAGTTCATATCACCAGGAGGCCTGAACTTTTCTGAAAAGAAAAAGAGGAATAGACAATGTGGAGGAAGATAGGAGGGTTCTGGGAGAAATGCAAGGAGAGAAAGCTGTGGTTGGCGTGAATTTTATGAAAAAATTAAATAAAAAGGGAAAAAAACATATGACATATTTTGGAAGTTATAAAGAGAAGTGACATCCTTTCTATAATGTATATGAGAAAGCAAATTGCTCTATATAGAGACACACACTAAAAATATAGGGTCAAAATCATAAACACAGGTTTAATACTGGTTATCAAACCTTTGTATTTGCACCATTAGACTTTCAAATTAATGTATCACCAAAGTATTTTTTTAAACATTTTTATTTGGCAAACAGTGAGTGTAGTTCATATTTCCATTTTATAACTGCAAGCTGAACATGAATGTCTATGTGAATTTTACCTCAATATTCTAAATCATAAATACATGTACATATACATGTATAAAAATGTCATAATGACACATTGATTGTAGAAATAATATAGGATAATATTAATACGAAAACACAGAAAAAAAGCTCATGAATGTGGATGGAAATTTTCTGAGAATGTTCTAGAAAATTTTATGAATTACATCAAGTATTTTATTTAACACACCACAGAGAACCACGTGAGGTTTGCTAACATGATTAAACATGGAAATGCACAATGTAAATGCACAAAGGTAAAATATATATTTCCAAGAATGTAGAACATATAATTCATAAAATTAAATACTTTCAGTATCAAAACTATAAACACATTAGGAAGAAAGAAAGAAAACACATTAATGTATTTTACATTGTGAGAAACTGGTGGCTGTGCAAATGTGAGGTCCTAAATGAAGTTCTCCAGAAATTTTGTAAGACTTTGGTAGTGTATTTTATCTGAAATACTACCACTCCTATTTTGAGATGACAGGTGGAGTTAAGAGAATCTTGATATTCATCAGTTACCTATCCTAACATTTCTAGTGATAGACAACAAGTGACCCTGTCTCAAAGAAGGTGGAAAGTCTTCTAACCTCAACATACAATATATATACTGGTACCTACGTTTCCACCCTCACCTCTCTCTTTCCCCCCTTTCTATGACACACACAGAGAGACACACAAATAAATATGACTAAAATACCTTCAGAGAGAAATGATCACAGGGTATAAAATAACTGTAATCATAATGATCAAAAAATACCTAAAAGAATTTGTCTCGGGGCTGGAGAAATGGCTCAGTGGTTAAGAGCATTGCCTGCTCTTCTAAAGGTCCTGAGTTCAATTCCCAGCAACCACATGGTGGCTCTAAACCATCTGTAATGAGGTCTGGTGCCCTCTTCTGGCGTGCAGACATGCACACAGACAGAATAGTGTATACATAATAAATAAATAAATATATTTTTATTATTTATTTATTAAAGATTTCGGACTCCTCCCCACCACCGCCTCCCATTTCCTTCCCCCTCCCCCAATCAAATCCCCCTCCCTCATCAGCCCCAAAGAGCAATCAGGGTTCCCA